ATGCAAAAAAACTTCATATGATATTAGAGGAGAAGACTCTGGCATCAAGCTGACATGAGTGCACTTTCCTCAGTCTGTGTACTAGAGTCTGATACCTCTTCCTGTCCTGTCTGCCTGTGTCATGGCATCCTGGGACTTGACAAGAGCAAGTGCTTCTGATCAGCAAGTAGACGGTGGCATTAATGGCAGAGAGCCAACTTTAAAAGGAAAGTTTGAAAATGTCCTGGTAAAAGAACATGTGGTTCATCAGATGAAAGCAGCGCTCTGCTTGCCATTGTTTTGGGGTTTTTTTGTGGGAGAAATCATGTAATTTCTGTTCTGTCAGTTTTTAATTTGATTGGAATAGATTCCTGATTTATTAGTAAAGCTGAACAATTAATTCAGACATATACATGCTGAGCTTCCTGATCTTGATAGGGTTTGCCATACACTCCATAATGCCACGTGTGAAAGAGCACAGCTCTTTATTTAACAACTCTCTAACAGCATTTTCCAAAGATGTATACAAAATATTTCTGGTGAGAAAGAAGAAAGAAAGTAACTTTCGGAAATTGACAGTATCCATGAATTAAGAGTCATAGGAAACAACCCAACACAGATTGACCCAGCATTGTTAATACTTCTAGTCTGATCCTCTTTTTTATTATTTTGAGAAGAGATGGCATGAAAAGGGGACAGGGCATTCAAGACATGGTCATATATGACTGGGCAAACTCAGTGGTGCTCCAGAGTTGAAGGTTATTTGTTTGACTTCAGAAGTGGCTACTTTGGGGTTGGACTGTGTGAGAATAGAGTTGGTCTCCTGTATCTACTGACAACTTGGTACTCTGCTGTTGGTTTATTTCTACTAGGCAAACAGACTCTGGCAATATTCTATTTTCTTTTTCTCCTAGATCAAACAAGGCAGCAGCCACGAATATGTCAATAAATATTAAATTGAGAAATTTTCTTTTCATCTTGAGTTAGGAGAGAGAAAGAAGTATCTATCAAAAGTCCTTTGAGGGCTTGGGATTTGATGCCCCATTGGTGCAAATTGCTGCTTATCCACCCATCCCGGTATTGGCGAAGACATTTGGCAGTAGCACTGCTGAATTCATTTAATCCGTGACTAACATAGCTTGACTGAGATCCGCCCCAGGAGACTCTCTTGGTCAGAATTGTCCTCCAGGCTGTAGCTTTTAACTCCCTAAAAGACTTGAACAAATAGTTTCATTTCCTTTGCCTCAAACAAATAATTTCATTTCCTTTACCTCTATTTCCATAAATTTAAATAGATTCTGGTAATATTCACCACAGTCTCACAATTTGTCAGGCATAGTTGAACCTGCTGGAGAATATAGTTTTAAACAGCTATATAGATATGTGATGGAAACAGCTGGGGTGAGACTTCTGGTGAATAAGGGCTATTGAAAAAACAAAAACAAAAACAACAAAGCAAGACAGTAATCTGGATAAAAAACAGCATCAGAAACTGTGCTCCCAGCTGAGAACAATCAGTTTCATCTCTCCCTGCTTGACACAGTTTCTCTGCCAAGTATCTGAGCTTGGAAATTCAAAGAAAGTTTGCAAAATAAATCTTGTCTTTCCCAGGTAAGAATAGGATCTTTCTTCAATAAAATTTAAAATTTTTTCCAGTTATGTAAAGTGTTATGTAACATCTGTTTCATTTCTGTTGTATTACCCTTTTTTTTTTTTACAGAGATGTGTTTTAGATTAATATTTAATGTTCTTGCTTTTAAGAAACTGTCTTTGAATCATTTCGGTGTGCTGCTGACTTCAGGTTCCTGGGAGAGGAGGAGCTGCATGAGCTTAATACTAGTGTGCTGTCAGCTACCACAACTGAAGAGGGAAAGTGCAGCTCAGGAATACAGTCTGAATGTGTCAGAACCACACATTTCCCCTTAGAAATGAGCAGAAAATAGCAAAACCTGTCACCTGAGAGCATCCATAAACTGCTGAGGAGCATGAGATGCCACTTGGTCGTGTCAAAGAGGGAGAGTGGGGAAAAAACATAGGCACAGTTCCTCTGAAAGGAGGCAGAGCCATTTGAGTCTTTGGATGAATTGCAGTACACAGAATGATTTTTGCTACAAAGTAATAATTTTTTCTCATTCTTAATATTTTTTTTAGCAGTGAAGCAATTAAAATATTCATTCAACATATTGTGCTTTGAAAATATAATTCACAAAGATCAGCAGGCATGTTTTCATTCTGTCGTTCCTGATATTACTCATCACACCAGGCAACTCATTTATTTTTTAACTGTATTCTTTCTTCTATCAGATCTTGTTTCTTTTCAGAGATTGAAGTGTGAAGCTCAGTGGTTGATTCACCTTTTGTAAAACTGATGCATAAATTTTTGTTCCTAGTCTATTTAGTAAATGTCATCTGTTTTGTATGTAAGTGGCTCTTGGTGTAGAATGGCTGGTTTTGAAAATCTGGTTAGCAGAGGAAGCAAACATATTTCCATATGAAGGTTAAATGGTGATAGATTGTAAAACCAAGCAAACAAACAAACCTCACCCCTCACCTCTCCCAGATGAACTTGCTAAATTTTTCCTGGCTTGGAAATGAGCTAATTGATTCACTGCAAGTTATCCTGTTCACATGGGAAAGTTATGACCAGTGAGATAAATTACAACACCTTTTCTCTTTGACCTGTTTATCTGGTTTCATCTGAAAGATGTCATGGTTTCTCTGAACAGCAGAAGCATAGATTCTCAAAAAGATGAATAAACTTTTCTGCCTGAAATTGATATATTTTACCAGTGTCCATTCATATCTCTGCACTCTCCACATAGTGCTGGTCACTGTAGTCTTTGAGGTGATCTGCCTGTTTCTCAGGAAGTTGGACATGACATGCTCATATAATGCCTATTTGAGGGAAAATATAAACACTACCATGTTGGCATTTAGGACAAGACTGTGTTGTAACTGTATAGGCATTAAAACATTTTAACTTAACACTGTAACATCTTGGTATATATGCTTTTTGACTACACAAGTGCTTTATTTTTTGGTCTTCCTGTTATTAACAAGTATGTGCCAGATAAACTGGTAGAAGAAAGAGAGAGAAGTTCTGTTTCAGCAGTGAGTAATTTCATATAGCTCAATTTTGGAACCTCAAGAGCTGAATCATTTTCCATTCCTTATTTGCAGTGAATCATAGAATCATAGAACCATTTAGGTTGGAAATGACCTCTAATGTTATCGAGTCCAACCATAAACTCCAAAGTCCATCATTAAGTGCCACATCTATATTACTTTTAAATACCTTTGAGGATGGTGACTCTACCACTTCCCTGAGCTACCTGTTCCGGTGCTTGACAACTCTTTTGGTGAAGAATTCTTTCATAATATCCAACCTGAACGTCCCCTGACATAACTTAAGGCCATTTTCTCTTGTCCTACCCCATTCTACTTGGGAGAAGAGACCAACCCCCATCTGACTACAGTCTCCTTTCAGGTAGTTGTAGAGAGCAGTAAGGTCCCCTCTGAGCCTCGTTTTCTCCAGGCTAAACAACCCGAATTCCCACAGCTTGTCGTCAAGGGACTTGTGCTCCAGACCCTTTGCTGCTCACTCCAGCACCTCAATGTCTTTCTTGGAGTGAGTGGCCCAGGACTTGACATAGGATTCAAGGTATGGCCTCACCAGTGCTGAGTACAGGGGGACAATCAATGCCCAAGTCCTGCTGGCCACACTATCGTTGATACAGGCCAGGATGCCATTGGCCTTCTTTGACACTGGGTACACTACTGGCTCATGTTCAACCAGCTTTTGACAGTTCCTTTTCCAACTGACATTTTTCTAGCCGCTCTTCCACAAGCCTGTAGCATTGCATTGGGTTGTTGTGACTGTAACACGACACAGCACTTCACCTTGTGTAAGATCCATGAAATGCCATACATCAGTATGACTCCCCTCTGAAGGACTGCAAGAACACATGCCCATGCAAGAACAGCTTCACAAATATTTCGAAACTTTTTCGTCTTAAAAGTAAGATGGCCAGCTGAAGTGCCTGGCTGGCTTTGGGCCTCAGCCAACTACACATATGGGGAAAATTTTTGACAGAGATGTCTGTATAACTTGCTTGAAGCTAAAACTTGTTGTACTTCTTGGATGTTAGTTTTGAATCAGTGTGGCTTCTTAAAATTAGATTCAAGACTGGTTACTGTTTGAGGAACAAATAGTGCCAGAGAGCAATAAAGATGTATTTGTTGGGAACAGGTTTAATAATAAATTGTACTTGGTATTCTTACCATCTTGATCATTTGCTGAAATACTTTTGTGCTTTTTCTGTAATGATATTTTATATAAGATATATAAGATATTGCATTAGAAATTTTTTTTGTAGGCCACCTTGTGTATGCATAAGGCTTCTGTTCCTACATCACTGAAGGGTCTCCCTCAATCTCAGTAGAACAAGCTTGCCACAATGTATTTGTCATCCTCGTCTGTTAGTGTTAATGCATACTTCCTCCTTTTGCTTTCATCTTTGCTCATCCCAATTCAGTTGATATAACATCCTTACTGAGAGTAGTTGCTCGCATTCCCAGAGATTAAATGTAAAGGCAGGACTACTAAAAACTTTATGACATTAAGTGCTTCCTTTTGTTTGCTATAGTCTTGTGGTTTTTCCTCTAGCTTGTGATGTGTTACACTCTTGAAGGAGATAATATTTTTCCTGCACAGGAGAAACCCTTGCCAAGGCAAACCTTGATGAACCATGAGAAACCTTCATAAGGCAACACTCTTGGCTGACTTTGACTGCTTTTATAGAGGTTCAGGTTTGTCAGTTTGTACAGTTATGTTGCCACTGAAAAAATAATACAAGGAATCAAAGCAGTGTAATGTAGCAGCGTCGCAGTGTCACAGTGCTACCAGCACACCTTTGCTGGCCCACAGCCTGCATAAACCACAGCTTAATTTCATTGGATAGAATTTATTAGCACCAATGTTCATTCCCTAACTTTATGATTATCACTTTGTCCTGTTTCAGATAAGAAGACAAGGTGGAATACAATTACTGGTGGACCTATTGGACCATCGGATGACAGAAGTCCACCGTAGTGCCTGTGGAGCTTTGAGAAACTTGGTATATGGGAAGGCAAATGATGACAACAAAATTGCTCTGAAAAACTGTGGTGGTATCCCAGCATTAGTACGGTTACTCCGCAAGACTACAGATTTGGAAATCAGAGAACTGGTCACAGGTTTGAATCTTTCAGTATTTTTGTTCAAACTGTATATTGGTCTTTCAAGCACAGTTCTGTGCTGCATGCCGCTTACTCCATCAGTAACTGGTTTATTACCACATTATTTCCCATAACAAAAAAATTTCAAGCCCTTTGGATATATGTAATGTATGAATAGCTTTGAATATTGCACAGTTTACAGATGTAGGCATGGCTTAAGCCTATGATTGCTGGTTCACTTCATTCTTGGTTTGCCATGAATGCTCTTGCAGATGTGCTCCATATGTTCTGGTGGGAATCCTCTCCATCCTGTCTGATGTAGGGCTGCCCATGCAGAAGTTATATTTTACTGAATTTACTTACAAGCTGTTACTCATTCCTTTTATATCCTATGTAGTGAGAAGGAGGATTTGTTTGGGGGTTTTCTACATTCCTTGAGATTTTGATAGGAAAATGGAATACTGTGGTGGAGAGGTGGATGACATCATCTTCTGAAGCTTTTGTTTCTGAAATTTGATACCATACTGTGTAATGTGCTATAAACAGAGCATGCAGGTAGTGAAAGTTTATTTCTTTTCTTGATAAAGTAGAATCTGGTCTTTTTAAGATTGTTTGGACATTGTCTCTTATGAAATTCAAAGGAGAGGGGAGTGGGGGTGGTGTTCAGAAATACAGGAATGCTGTCAAACAGGGCAGATCTGAAATGTTTGGAGGGTTTTTTCCCCTTACCTCAAGCTATCCTGATTAATATGCACAACAGAAGCTAGATGGTGGGCTTTTCTATTTTTCACTTTGTGACTTAATTCTTTAAAAATATTTTAATCATCCTATTTTTGATGCCTATATTTTCATTATGATTTTCCTACTAAAATATGTAAGAAAATTTCTTATTTCTCTCACAGAATCATCAGAGTACATGTTATCTATGCTTCTGTACTTACCTTTTGTTTCAGGCCTCATTTAGGATACAATTGATAGGATTATCATCCTTTGGTTGGCTCCAGTTTCCTTCCTTGAGGGTGTCTGAATAAACTGCATGGTGTTTATTAAATGTAGATTTTTATATTTCATTTTGTGTCTTAGTTGCAACACTTATCACCTCCTACTTGTTAGTCAGGATTAATGGGGCAGAGATACAGGGTTGCATGAGCTCAGATAATGCCTCCTGTAGAGTGACAGAATTGCTGACAAATCTAATAAAGTGTAACCACTACTTCAGATTCAACATCCTTTTTTGTCTCTTGGTTATGTTGTTGGTGTCCTGGCTCCGGGGAATATTTCACCTATTTACTCTGAGTAGTAAGAGGCAAACTGCTGATAAACATCAGCAGTACACCTCATCAGTCACAGTGGCACTTCCCACACCATCTGTAAATGGAACACATAATGTCATTAGGTCATTTTAAGAAAACATATGGGGCTATGATTTACATTGATTCTGTTGCACAGTGTGTTGTTAAATTTTCCTAAATTCCCACAGAAAGAAAGAAGTGTTATTGACAAGAGGAGTAGGTACTAACCTTCAGTGGTAGGCAGTAACCTGCCTTTATACAGGTAGAGGCAGCTTCCCAGGATGAACATCAGGAGTGTTGGACACGTATGAAAGGGTAGAAGAGCGAGGTGGTGACCCTGAGGAATGGAATCAAAGTCAGTGGTATTTCTGGTTTTGTATTGGGGTTTTTTGTTTGTTTTTAATAGCCAGTATATCCCAGAAGGCCACTGCTTGCCCTGGCCCTGTTTTTCGCCTTTCAGAGTGTAAATCACTTGTCCTTGCTTTCAAAATGCAAAGCTGGTTGTGGTAGTGTTCTGCAAAGCGTCCTTTCAAAGTAAGGCTCATGGTTGCAACTCTCATCTCGCATCTCTTAGGAAACAGGCTGGAGTCGTGCATCTGAATCAGTTCTCCTTTGGTTTTTTTTTTGTAAAATCTTGTAGTGTGATAGCTACCCCAGCTCAATTCCTGCCTTCCGTCCTTTCTGGGGAAGGAAAGCTAGCTCCTGCAGCGGGTTCCTCAGTAATGAAAAGATTTGATTTGGTGACAGGCACAAGGAAAAATAAAAGAAGTTCCTCATGCTTTCCATCAACCTTCCTGAGCTGAGGTGGCAGGAAGGTGATTATTTCAGTAGGGTCACTATAGACTGAAGGAGATACAGAGAAAGTAATAGCCGTTGTCTGGTTTGGGAGTAAACATAATACCTTGAGCCTTTCTATCTCATGTTCATTGTGCATCCTGTCTATATAAAACCTGCACTTGTTTGTTACTTTTAGAGAGGACACAAAGTTCCTGCCTTAGGAATTCATACATGCTCTGACATTGTTACCCCTAAATACTCCTTCAGCATTTGTCCTCAGAGCACTTCTCTTATGTGAGGAAGTGTCATTATCTCGGTTTTACAGGTGGGGAACTGGGCCTATCAAGTGTAAATGGCCTGTCCAGAAATGTGGCAAGATGAAGGTGTGAATCACTCTGAATAGGCACTCAGCTGCAAGGGAAGAAATATGGGCAGGAGAGGTTTTTTAGCAGCTCAATTTGTCTGGTAGCAGTGAAGCATTCATTGCCTGCCCCAAGTACCACGCAGCACTCACCCAACAGAGCGAAAGTTCTGATATTAGTTCCTTCCTCAAACACATCGTACATTTTCTTCCTTTTTTTTGCTTCTCCCTAAGGAGATTATAACTTAAATTTCCAGCAATCTCAAGACTGGCTTTGGAAGGGTATTTAAACCTGCAGACCAGCTTTCTATCCCAGTAGCTCCTTGATTGTCAGGGTTGCCTTCAGCACCATTTGTGGCTTTTCCTCTTTTCCAGATACTTCTTTCTGGCATAATCTCTCCAAAACAGTTTTGGAGGTTTTCACTTTTTCCTTTATCTTGTCTTTCTCCTTCTCACTAGCAGAGGTCTTGGGCTAATACTTGAAAACCTTACCATGCTCCAATTTTTGGATTGCACAAATTTAACCTTATAGCAAAGTATTAGAGCTTCAAGGCTCTCTCATGTCGAGCAAATGGTTTCAGTGCAGATTCCTGTGTAAAAGCCATGAGTAAAAGCCACAGTTCCCTAACTGTGCTGCCTGGCTATTTTAAAGTTAGATGGTGTCAATGCCCAGGAAAGCTTCCTAAGATATGGAAAGATTTTTCTTACAGAAACAATTCCACAGTCACAGGTTTTTACTAGAAGAAAGTGGATAAACTGAGGTATACAAATGAATAGATACATTTATGTGAAAATGAACTATTCTGATAGAAATAGAGATGTCAGCATGGCTACAGCCTCTGGTAATGTCCAGAGACTCAAGGAGAACCAGAATTACAATACCTTGTTGACTGTAGGTCTGTAAATGAAAATAAATAGGTGTAAGCTGGATGTGCCATACTTAACTTAGCCATCTTTTCACCCCAGCTCTCTGCTACTAGTTCCCACAGTAGCTCCTGTTAATAGGAAAAAATAAAAGCCTTCTATTTTAAAATAATTAAATGTTAACACTTTTCTAATAAATATAAATAGACAAGAACACAGTACAAAATTAGCACAGATCCTGCAGATGGTAGAAAGAAATATTTTCACTTGGCAATAATGAAAATGAGTAACTGATTTCTGATTCTCTTGCCTTTCCTGAGTTAATTATGAACCCTTCCACAAAATTCTATTTTAGCATTCTTTCTATTTGTTATGCTGTCAGGGGAAAAAAATTACATGAAAACTGTGACATATTAGCAAGGATAACACAAGAATCCCATGGATGCCTTGTGGAGATGAGGTCAAGCAGCTGTTGCTAGATCCATTCCAACCAGAGCATTCTATGATTCTGTGATTCAACCAATCCTTGCTCCCTGTTCCATCAGCTCCATTGGATAACTGGGTATCTGTCTCAGATAAAATTATTTAAATTGCTATGCTTCTCATTGTTTACAAACAAAATCCATCGCAATTAGAAAAACAGTTTCTCCCTATGAACAATAAGCTAGCTGAATAGGGAAAAAAACATTTAAAGAGGGCCCTTATGACTGTTTCACCTGTTTTCAAACTGTACATACTATTCTTGATTGAAAAGTAAAATTGGATAATCCACTTTTAGAAAGCACATAATGATAAAGAGCTATAGCTGTAAATAATGTCAGGAGAAATCATTTTTTCCTATGCTAGCAGCCAGCCTCCTGCTTATTTTGGTTGACAGTAAGGTGTCAGAGATTTAACTATTGTCTACTGAGAATGTATAAATTTAAAAAGTTATCACATTTACAAAAAATGGAAAAAAACCATAAACTATCTAATATACCATATATTGTATGTATATCTATATACTATATGCAGATAGGTAGATATTGACTCTATGTATTTCATTCACATTTTTGTTCACTGAAATAAAAAGCATATATTCCGTACCTGCAAAATACTATGTTTTGTATAAAATGTTTCTCTCAAAAAAGCACTAGTTGTCCAAATAGCTTTGGCCCACGGTCAGGTTAGACAGAAAAAAAATTTCATTTACTTCCTAGATTTTGGATTCCGGTATACATTAGTGTTGTCTTTAATTTCATCTGTGGCCACTTTGTGTTTTGGCTTGGTTGTTCCTCTGTTGTCACCCCATGTGATGCAACATTATTATGTAGTCGTTTTACATTTCTGTTCCAGTTTTAGTAGTTGCCATATGTTTATAATGAGGGATTTATAAGCTTATTGATAGTCTTTCCGTGTTACTCAAAGCAATTACATGTTGTCCACCTTATATCTATCTGGTTTGAGTTAACTGCTGCAGGTGAAACCTCCTTTTTGATTGCATACTGCTTATTAGTATGTGCATAAATTTATTGGCAGATTAGTCAAGAAACTCCAGAAGGGTCCCTTTGAGCCTTGTATGTGTCTTTGCTAATCTATGTAGTTGCAAGTTAGTGAGCCTGCAGTGATATGTAAAGCACATTTAAGGGAGTATTCTATTTAAATGGACCTTTTGGTTTACTTCAGTGGAAGATTTAATTTTATTTCATTTTCTTAGGTAATTCTGGCCAGTTCTTTAGAATTTT